CCCACTTGGAAGCTTTGAAAAAGCAAAGTAAACAGATTGCTGCTGCTAAAGACAAGTACGAGTGGCTGGTCAGCCGCATCGTCAAAAACCACAACGAGACGTGGTCGAACGTGAGCCGCAAGATGCAATCCTCCCCGGAGTATCAGGATTACGTCTACCTGGAAGGAACGCAGAAAGCCAAAAAGCTCTTTCTGCAACACGTCCACCGCCTCAAGCAGGAGCACATAGAACGCCGGCGGAAGATGTATCTCGCCATGCTTCCTCAAGCGTTTGAAGCCCTCATCCCAGACCTGGATGAAATAGATCACTTGAGCTGCGTGAAAGTGGAGAAGCTCTTGGAGACGAAGCCGGACTTTCTGAAATGGTTTGTTGTCCTGGAGGAGACGCCCTGGGATGCCACGAGCCACATCGACAACATGGAGAATGAACGCATTCCCTTCGACCTGATGGAGACCCAGCCCGCCGAGCAGCTCTACGAAGCTCATTTAGAAAAGCTGAGGAACGAGAGGAAAAGGGCAGAAATGAGAAGAGCTTTCAAAGAAAACCTGGAGACTTCTCCTTTCATCACGCCCGGGAAGCCCTGGGAGGAAGCACGCAGCTTCATTATGAACGAGGACTTTTACATGTGGCTGGAGGAATCTATTTATATGGATATCTACAGCAAGCACCAAAAACAGATCATAGAAAAAGCCAAGGAGGAGTTTCAGGAGCTCCTCTTGGAGTACTCGGAGCTGTTTTATGAACTGGAGCTCGACGCTAAACCCAGCAAGGAGAAAATGGGCGTCATTCAGGACGTCTTGGGTGAAGAACAAAGGTTCAAAGCGCTGCAGAAGCTGCAGGCTGAGCGGGACGCCCTTATCTTGAAGCACATCCACTTTGTCTACCACCCGACAAAGGAAACGTGTCCCAACTGCCCCGTTTGTGTTGACTCTAAAATCGAGCACCTGATCAGCTCCCGTTTCATCAGGCCCTCTGAACGCAACCAGAAGAACTTGCTTTCGGACTCCAACATCGACAGGCTCAACCTGGTGATCCTTGGCAAGGACGGTTTGGCGCGCGAGCTGGCCAACGAGATCCGAGCGCTCTGCACCAACGACGACAAGTACGTGATTGAAGGTAAGATGTATGAGCTGTCCCTGAGGCCAATCGAGGGCAACGTCCGGCTCCCCGTTAATTCTTTCCAGACACCCACCTTTCAGCCTCACGGTTGTCTCTGCCTTTACAACTCGAAGGAGTCGCTGTCCTACGTAGTGGAAAGCATCGAAAAGAGCAGAGAGTCGACCATCGGCAGGAGGGATAATCATTTGGTTCACCTTCCTCTCACCCTCATCCTCGTCAACAAGAGGGGGGACACCAGTGGCGAGACGCTCCATAGCTTGATACAGCAAGGCCAGCAGATCGCCAGCAAGCTGCAGTGCGTCTTCCTGGACCCCGCGTCTGCTGGCATTGGGTATGGCCGTAACATCAACGAGAAGCAGATCAGCCAGGTTTTAAAAGGGCTGCTGGACTCGAAACGCAACTTAAACCTCGTCAGCTCGACCTCCAGCATCAAAGACCTGGCGGACATCGACCTTCGGATTGTCATGTGCTTGATGTGCGGAGATCCGTTCAACGCGGACGACATCCTTTTACCCATCCTGCAGTCCCAGACCTACAGACCTTCGCAGTGCGGCAGCAGCAGCTCCGTCCTCCTCGAGCTATCCATCGGGCCGCACAAGAGGCGCGTGGAGCTCTCCCTCCTTTCCTACCATTCCTCCTTTAGCATTAGGAAAAGCCGCCTCGTCCACGGGTACATTGTCTTTTACTCGGCGAAACGCAAGGCCTCTCTGGCCATGCTACGTGCCTTTCTCTGCGAGGTGCAGGATATCATCCCCATACAGGTCGTGGCACTCACGGACGGCTCCATAGACATCCTGGACAACGATTTGAGCAGAGAGCAGCTCACCGAGGGCGAGGAGATCGCCCAGGAGATCGACGGCAAATTCACCACCATACCTTGTAGCCAGCCGCAGCATAAGCTGGAGATTTTCCACTCGTTTTTTAAAGATGTGGTGGAGAAAAAAAACATCATCGAAGCCACCCACATGTACGACAACGTGGCCGAAGCCTGCAGCACGACGGAGGAGGTGTTCAACTCACCTCGAGCGGGTTCCCCTCTCTGCAACTCCAACCTGCAGGATTCGGAGGAGGACGTCGAACCCCCTACCTACAGCCCTTTCAGGGAGGATACATCCATGCCCGCCCTGCCCAAAGACCACTCGAAGCTTTCCATGGAGCTGGAGGGGAACGACGGTTTGTCTTTCATTTCTGTCATGAACACTTTTGAAAGCAAACTGAACAACAAAGTACCTCCTCCCGTCAAACCAAAGCCCCCCATGCATTTTGACATTACGAAGGGGGACCTGTCGTATTTGGAGCAGGGGCATCGGGACGGGCAGAGGAAGTCCGTGTCTTCCAGTAGCTGGTTGCCCACCGACTGCTTCGATCCTTCCGACTACGCCGAGCCGATGGACGCCGTGGTCAAACCCCGAAACGAAGAGGAGAACATTTACTCCGTGCCTCACGACAGCACCCAGGGCAAAATCATCACCATCCGAAACATTAACAAAACCCAATCCAACGGAAGCGGCAACGGCTCGGACAGCGAGATGGACACCAGCTCCCTGGAACGGGGCCGCAAGGTGTCGGTCGTTAGCAAGCCCGTGCTGTATCGGACGCGCTGCACGAGGTTGGGCAGGTTTGCTAGCTACCGAACCAGCTTCAGCGTTGGGAGTGACGATGAACTGGGCCCCATCCGAAAAAAGGAGGAAGACCAAACTTCCCAAGGGTATAAAGGCGATAACGCCGTTATCCCCTACGAAACGGCCGATGGGGAAGATCCGAGGAGGAGGAACATCCTGCGCAGCCTGAGAAGGACGACGAAGGTAGGCTGGTGCTTTCTGCCCGTTGGTCGTGGCATTCGTGGGGTGGAGCTTGGGCTGCACTGCCGGGTGTAAAGGCTGAATGAGGGCAGGAGCCCCTCCCGTCGCGTTCCTGGCACGTTTTTCACGCGTTTACTGATTGATTGAGGAGAAGGGTGAGCGCAGAATCTCTTTTTATTTTCTCTTTTTTTATCGTCTGTTAACTCGCTGCTGGTGCGAACCGCGTGACCTTGCAGTCCTATACCAAAATCCCCTCTGTTGTTTCCACCATGAGCGTTCAGCTCAGACAACTTTATGGGTTCAGGTCCAGCCAGCACGGGTTCATGAAAGGCAGGTCCTGCCTGCCCAACCTGATCTCCTTCTACGACCAGATGACCCACCTGGTGGATGAGGGACAGGCTGTGGATGTTCTCTGCCCGGACTTCAGCAAAGCCTTTGGCACTGTCTCCCACAGCGTTCTCCTGGAGAAGCTGGTGGCTCATGACTTGGACGGGCGCCCTTTTCACTGGGTGAAAATCAGCTGGATGGCCAAGCCCAGAGAGTTGTGGTCAACGGAGTTCAATCCCGTTGGCAGCCAGGCACGAGTAGCGTCCCCCAGGGCTCACTTTTAGGGCTGGTCTTGTTTAATGTCTTTATCAATGTCCTGGGCAAGGGGATCAGGGGCACCCTTGGCCAGTTTGCAGATGACAGCAAGCTGGGCGGGAGCATGGATCTGCTGGAGCATAGGGAGGCTCTGCAGAGGGACCTGGCCAGGCTGGAGCCATGGGTTGAGGGCAACTGTGTGAGGTTCAACATGGCCAAGGGTCGGGTCCTGCACTGGGGCTGGATGACGGGACTCCAAAGAGCTGTGTCTGACTTGCAAGTGTGAGGGCAGGATTTCCAGGCTTGTGCTGGTGCCAGTTTTGCAAAGAAGGATGAACGCCATGCCGGACACCAAGCTGACCGTGAGCCAGCAATGTGCGCTCACGGAAAAGGGCAGCGGCGTCCTGGGCTGCACCAGGCAAAACCTTGCCAGCCGGTTGAGGGGACTGATCCTACCTCTGCTTAGTACTGGTGAGGCCACATCTGGAGTGCTGGATCCAGTGCTGGGCTCCTCCCAGGGCAAGAAAGACATGGACTTACTGGAGCCCAGAGGCTGAGCAAGCTGGGGCTGTTCAGCCTGGAGAAGAAAAGGCTTGGGGGGAACCTCATCAACGTGTACAAATACCTGATGACAGGGTGGAGACAATGGAGCCAGGCTCTCCTCAGTGGTGCTCAGTGACAGGACAAGAGGTGAAGGGGCTGTCAGGCGCTGGAAGGGGCTGCCCAGGGAAGGGGTCGAGTCCCCACCCCTGGGGGGATTTAACAGCCAGGCAGAGGCGGTGCTGAGGGCCAGGGTTTGGTGGTGGGATGGCAGGGTTAGGGGAACGGTTGGGCTGGGTGATCTTAAAGGGCTTTTCCAACCCAAACAATTCTGTGATTCTATGATGAATGGGGTAAAGTTGCTGTTATCAGCCCAGAAACGTTTAGAGAATCTCGTTTAAAAGTCACATGTCCAGCCAGAGAAGATGGTGATACGTTGAGGACACATCTAAGTTGTTGCCTCTCTTGGATGGCTCGTCTTTAGATGCATTGTGCTGCCGCGGTTTTACAAAACAGGCAATAAATCAACCCGGATTCGCTGCTGCTTTTTGGCACAATGCTGGCTCTGCTCTTTAGAGGGTGAAACTGGTTTTGGATGAGCCCACTTGTTTGAGGTGCTCGAGTGGTTTTTGGACTTCTTGGCCAATGGTTGGGGCACCGGGGGGCCAGCAGTTGGGGCACCGAAGGCCAACGGTTTGGGCACTGAAGGCCCAGTGGTTGGGATGCTGAGGGCCCAGTGATTGGGGCGCCGAAGACCCGACAGTTGGGGTGCCGAAGGCCAACGGTTTGGGCGCTGAAGGCCCAGTGGTTGGGGCACCGAGGGGCCAGCGGTTGGGGCACTAAAGGCCCAGTGGTTGGGGCACCAAGGGGCCAGCAGTTTGGGCGCCAAAGGCCAACGGTTTGGGCGCCGAAGGCCCAGTGGTTGGGGCACTGAGGGCCCAGTGGTTGGGGCGCCAAAGACCCAACAGTTGGGGTGCCGAAGGCCAACGGTTTGGACACCGAGGGCCCAGTGGTTGGGGGTGCCGAAGACCCGACAGTTGGGGTGCCGAAGACCCGACAGTTGGGGTGCCGAAGGCCAATGGTTGGGGTGCCGAAGGCCAATGGTTTGGGCGCTGAGGGCCCAGTGGTTGGGGTGCCGAGGGCCCAGTGGTTGGGGCACCAAAGGCCAACGGTTTGGGCGCTGAAGGCCCAGTGGTTGGGGTGCTGAGGGCCCAGTGGTTGGGGCGCCAAAGACCCGATGGTTGGGGTGCCGCAGGCCAATGGTTCAGCGCCAAAGGCCAGCCCTGAGCATGACGCGGTGGTGTTGGGCGCGGTGGCGGACATCTTGGCTCCAAGCGCATGGCTGCAGATGGAGGAGGCCAAGTCGTGCTGGTGTGGTCCGTGGGAAGAAAAACACCACAGCAGGACGAAACCGTACACCCGGAACTGTCCAATACGCACATTATATACGTACACGGATGCAAACGTTATATACGTACAGCTATATCGTACGTGCGGCGGATAGACGGGCACTCGCACGTTGCGCCCAGGGCCATAAATGTACACGCACAGACATAAATGTATGCGCATATTAAATGTAGGTGCGTTACACGTGCCCGCATGCGCCCACGTGATATATAAGCACACGTGTTGTATACACGCGTGTGCATTATGTGCCCGCGTACGCACGTGTATCATCCGCATGTTATGTAAGCGCATGCACATATACACGCTCGCTCTCCGTGTACGTGTGCACGTGCTGTAGATGCATGCGCGCCCCCAGTCCTTACACATCTATAGGGTCTGTGCATGTATGGATTGTGGTGCTGGGTGCGTATATCTGCGTGCGGAAGAGAGGAGGCAGCAGGAGGAGGAAGAGGAGGAGGAGGAGGAAGGGAAGCGGGGGCTGTGCTGCCCCCGACCCGGTAGAGGGAGCAGCGGCCACCGCCGGACGTCCTGCTCGGAGCCGCCTGCCACTGCAAAACCAATCAGGGTAATTAAGAGGCGTTTTTAATTGCCACTGGAAACAAAGGCAGAGCCGCTAGCACGGATCTGCCAGGCAGGAAGGAGCAAACCCAAATCCTCCTCGGCGGGGAGGACGGGGCCGGAGCGACGCCCTTGGCCGCCAAGAGGAAGGAGAAACCCAAATCCTCTTCGGCGGGGAGGACAGGGCCGGAGCGACGCCCTCGGCCGCTGGGAACGATCCCGGTCCCCATGCAGGAAGGAGCAAACCCAAATCCTCCTCGGCGGGGAGGACGGGGCCGGAGCGACGCCCTTGGCCGCTGAGAGGAAGGAGAAACCCAAATCCTCTTCGGCGGGGAGGACGGGGCCGGAGCGACGCCCTTGGCCGCTGAGAGGAAGGAGAAACCCAAATCCTCTTCGGCGGGGAGGACGGGGCCGGAGCGATGCCTTCGGCTGCTGGGAACGATCCTGGTCCCCACGCAGGAAGGAGCAAACCCAAATCCTCCTTGGCGGGGAGGACGGGGCCGGAGCGATGCCTTCGGCTGCTGGGAACGATCCTGGTCCCCATGCTGTCATAACCACGAGCTTCCTCCATTTCCCTTCTAACGTCCAACTGCCAAAGCGTCGCTGTGGGAAAGCTCCCTTCGGATGCTCCCGCTCACGGGGGACTGCTTGGGGGACGGGGAGAGCCGGTTGCACTTATCCAAAAAAGGCGGATGAGGCTTTTTGAGGCTCCTCAAACAAAAAAAATGATGTTTTGAGGCTCCCCGAAATACCCATGTAGGCAAAAACTTTCCCTCACAGTGACGGATCTGCTCGACCCCGTGGTGTGGACACTCTGAGAGGCTTCGCCGACGGGACCGGCTTTCCAGCTGGTGGGGGTTGGGTTTATCATTGGGGGTTTTTTGGGCTTCCAGTTGGCAGTTTGGGGTCTCGCTCCCACGCCCTTTCCCAAGGGGAAGCCGAGGGATGTGGCCGGGCAGCGGATGGGGCCGCCAATAG